GAAGGAGCTCACAGGACTCTGGAGAGGAGACTGGGGAGGCCCCTCAGGAGGACTCCGAGGACTCTCAGGGAAACTCTGGAGAAGACTCAGTGAAGTGGAGGAGAAGGAACACACAAAACTCTGGAAAGCAGGCTGGGCAGGCCCCTCAGGAAGACTCTGAGGACTCTCAGGGAAACTCAGGGGAAGACTCAGTGAAGTGGAGGAGACGAAGGAGCTCAGAGAACTCTGGAGAGGAGACTGGTCAGGCCCCTCAGGCAGACTCTGAGGACTCTCAGGAGGACTCTGAAGACTCAGTGAAGTGGAGGAGATGAAGGAGCTCACAGGACTCTGGAGAGGAGACTGGTCAGGCCCCTCAGGAGGACTCTGAGGACTCTCAGGAGGACTCTGAAGACTCATTGAAGTGGAGGAGATGAAGGAGCTCACAGGACTCTGGAGAGGAGACTGGTCAGGCCCCTCAGGAGGACTCTGAGGACTCTCAGGAGAACTCTGGAGAAGACTCGGCATCCCAGCAGCAGGCATCTCCTTGTCTGCTTGAACATCCAAAATCAGAGAAGAAAATGAGGATGAGGAGAAGGAAGAAGAGGAGGAGGAGGAGGGGGGTAAAAAGTGGAAAGAGGAAGAGAAAATGGAGAGGTTTCCTCCTCTTCCTCATCTGTGGGATCCTGTGAATCTACCAACTCCAGTATTAAAATTGGGTTCTGGAAGTCTTGCTCAACGCTGGGGCATGAAAGGTTTGGAAAGAGAGGCATGATGAATATTGTTCAGGAGCAGCAGCTAAACATGTGACTGAGCATGAAAGGTATGATGGGATCCCACAGGACTGAGGGAGACAGGGACAGTGTGAGTGGTCTTAGCCGAGCAACTCACCCATGATGGCTCTGACAAAGGCTGCCTGACAACTCTGCTTCTCTTAAGATGGTACTCTAGGCCTCACAGGTCACCTGTCTTCCTAGGGTGTTTGTTCCGTGGGAACCTGTAGGAGAATGTGAGAAAGCACCTCAGGGCACAGTTGGCAGGCAGAGCCTGGCGCACCAGGAATGGCAGTAGGTGGTTAGGACTGGGTGCTGCCAGGTCTGCTCTGTTTGTGGGGGTAGGGCCTTTGGTACACTGTCAGGGTGTGCACTCACCTTGACTCCTAGCACTGCCTGGGCCTCCTCTGCTGTGCTGACTTTAGAAGTGCAACTTAGACCCTGGTCTTCAACTCCTGGTTCCTGGAGCAGCTGCAAGAAGAAGTGAGAGAGGGCTGGGCACTATGGCTCATGCCTGTAATCCCAGCACTTTGGGAGGCCAAGGAGGGTGGACCACCTAAGGTCAGAAGTTCGAGAGCAGCCTGGACAAAAATGTATTTCTGTCTTACTGGAAATACAAAAAGCAGCCAGGCATGGTGGCGGGCACCTGTAATCTCAGCTACTTGGGAGGCAGAAACAGGACAATCACTTGAACCCGGGAGGCGGAGGTTGCAGTGAGCTGAAACCATAATATTGCACTCCAGCCTGGGTGACAAGAGGGAAACGTCTCCCCCCCCAAAAAAAAAGAAGAAGAAAAAGCAAGAGAGACCCTCGGCTAAAGACTGCAGCTGGGGCTGGCAAGACACCCAGAGCCCCACAGTTCTGGGGTTCGTGGCCCCCTCAGAATTTAATTAGCATTGTCACATTTTCTCAGATCGGGCCACATCCCTTACCACTCTGCTGGCCTGAGGCAAAACCTCAGCGCAACCTCCACATCCCTGAGAGCAGAGGGAGGTAGGGAGGTGGCAGCCACGTCCCATACTCTACCACGGGGGCAGTCGGGGCAGCCTCACATCTGCTCTGAAGCACATGTGACACCTCAGTCGTCATTCTTACCCCCGGCAGGGCCTGGGAATCTTCCCTCTGCCAACCGGAGGCAGATGCCTCTGCTGACTTGCCGTGGGACCCTCAGACCAAGGCCTCCCCCTCCCCTACACCCCTCACTCAGAAATGAGGGGGCTGCGGCTCAGCCTGAGCCGACTCAGGAGCTCTATGACGGCTAATATGAGGAGCAGGGCGGGGATCTCTGGGAATATGTCCTCTGAGGTGGGGGTTCCCTCAATCCTCCTCAAAGTCTCCCTATTTATTCCCTACAGGGCCGGCACCTCCTCTCTACTTCTGTGGTGGGGACGGGTCCCTCAGCCCTCGGCGGCCCTATTCCTGTCAGGAAGACACGTCCCTCAGCTCTCGGTTGCCGTACTCCTGTCAGGAGGACTCACCCCTCAGCCCTTGGTTGCCCTATTCCCGTCAGGAGGACCCGTCCCTCAGCCCACGGTTGCCGTATTCCTGTCAGGAGGACACGTCCGTCAGCCCTCTCTGTGACCTACAAGTCCCACAGCAGGGGCAGGGCAGGCCAGGGCTTTTGCTCTTTGTGGTGGGAGGTCCCTCAGTTCTCCCTCAGGGCCCTTACCTTGAGAACTGGTTGGGTCTAAGACTTCCCTCAGCTGACCTAAGGCGAGCCTCCTCACAAAACGCCTTCCAAGACTTCCAAGATGGAGGTCGGGAAAGCACATCCGGGAACCCTGCGGGGGTTGACCAGGGCTGACGGCAGGGGCAGCGTGGGGCGGGGCCTCGTCTCTGCGGAGGAACCACCCGCCCCCACCACTTCTCAGCCTCGTTTTCATCCCCCACCTCTCCGCCTCTTTTTCATCCCTCCTTCCCGGCTCCCAGATATGCTCCAAGCCTTCCTGCTGACTCCCTAAGCCTTACCGACCTCTTCCCTCCCACTTCCACTGTACTTGACTCCCCCACTCCCCTTTTCCAGGGCTGACAGCAAGGAGTGTCTGGATGCAGCCTGGGCCTCCCCTACACGGTAGTGGGTTACCGTCCTTCCACAGAGTTCCCTTGTTTGTTGGCCAGCCCTGGGGCTCCTCCCTCTGCTTAACTGAAACTGCCCTCCTCCGAGAAAACTTCTCCTTTTTGCTGACTCCCAAAATGGAAGTCAGAAAGTTGTACATCTGGGGACCCTGATGGGGTCCTCCAGAGCTGGCAGCAGGCACAGGGACAGGGGAAGGACACTGACAGCCATTGGCGTTCCCTTCCAGCCTTCCTGAGGGGCTGTGCCTGGACTCCTGAAACTGCCTGGACTCACTGCCTCTGTGGGTCGGAGTCTTTCACCTCCAAATAAGCCCCTCCCATCCCTGAGACCTGCGAGGTGCAAGAGAGGTAGAAACACATCCATCCACAATGGGATAGGGCCTCCCAGGCCCCAGGCAGGGCTCCACTGCCCTCCGTCTGAAACTGGGTGGGAAGGCTCCTCAGTCTTCTTTAGGATATTATTCCTGACAGGGCCTGCACTCTGTCCCCCTCCTCTCCAGAGACTGTTCCTCGGATCCAGGTTCCTATTTCCATGAAACCCCCAAGAAGAAATGAATCACGCTAGCATCTCTCCGTAATGGCCCTGCCCAAGGCCTCCTAGGGGTGAAAACAAGGGCTGGTTTTTGTGGGTCCTTCTGTGTCTGGGGTGGGATATCTCACCACTTCTTCCTCTGTATCATCCTGGGGATGCCTGGAAGGTCCTGAGTCCCTTCCCCCATCATGATCTGAAATGAGAGTCACCTGAACACAGCCCTCTCCTCTTTCTACCCACTAAGATGTCAGGGGACATCACAGTGGGCCACCATGCCCCAGGGCCTCCCAGGGATGACAGCAGGTGGGAAGCTGGTTTCTGTGGATCCTCCTCTTCATGGGCAGGGAATCTCTGCAGTTTTCCCTCAGAGGCCTCATCTGACTACTGGCTGGTCCTGGGCCTTCCCATCCTTCCCAAGATGACAGTATGACACAGGGGAAAAAAAAATAATGTAACTTTACCCTGAAGAAAACTGAAAAACATTAAGTCACCACGGGAATGAAATTAACACCATCAGTCATAAATTATGTTGGTACTATGTGCTGTCGGTATATGATAAGAATGACACTTCATCCTCCAAGAAAACATAACCTACATCAAATCAAAACAAAATTATCACATAATTCACGATCAAAGGCAACCTGACCATACACTTCCAAACTGTCAATGTTTTCAAAATCAAGAAAAGTCTCAGTGAATTGGCACAGCCAAAGGGCATCTAAAGACACATGATAAATAAATGTAATGGAGTATCCTCAGGGGATCTTGGGACAGAAAATAGAATTTTGTGACGAGGAAATAAATATGAGTAAAGTATGTTTATTAATAAACAAAGGCTGTTGGTGTATCAATATTGGTTCATTAGTTTTAGGAAACCTTACCAATTAGTTTTACGAAAACTTATTCCTGTTAATAACAGGAGTAATATATTATGGGGCATATAAGAATATTCTTGAACATTGTCCTAATTTTCTTGTAAATCTAAAATTATTCTAAAATAAAGTTTATCAAATATGAAAAAAAGTTATCAATCTAGATAAAAGATATTTATGAAAAACCTATAGCAGATATATCTTTTAAATATTTTAAATGTTGAAAACTTCCAGTTTGAACTTGGGACTTAACCTAGAGTTTCTGCTATGAGTATTTCTATTACTTTTTATAGTAGAGGTAGTAGCAAGTATAGTAATACAAAAAGAAATAAATGAAGGAATGAGGATTGGCCAGTTGGAAACAAAGCTTATGTGATTAATGGATGCTTTGACTGTGCATGAAAAGAATCCAAAAGAACTAAAGATAATTTATTCAATATACAATAATGTATCAGTTTGCTAATATAAGATCAGTATTCAAAAGAATGTCAACTTTGTTTTCTCTCAAGGAGAGAGCATGAAAATGAAAGTAAAGAATGTATAATTTTTAACCTATCATACTAACATATCAAGTATCTTAGAAAAATGCTTAACCAAAAATAACTTTACAGATGAAAATATTAAAATGTTGTTGAGACATATTAATGAAGACTTACATAAATATAAAATAAAATAAATTCATAGGCATGAATATTCAATATTTTAAATGTTAGTTCTTCCAGAAAAAGGAATCTATAGAACGATTGCAATCCCAAATCAAAACAACCAAATGGCTTTGGACATGTGTGAATCACCTGATTCTAAATATAAAGACATGCAAATGGTCAAGCATAGTCAATACATTCTTGAAAAAGAGTAATTAGTCTACCAGGTAGTAAGCATTACAAAGAAGCTAATGTAATGAACAGTTTGAGATTTAGATGCAGGAATTGGTCGACAGACCAATGGAACTGAGTGGACAGTCCTGAAAAACAAAAGCAACAAAACCTGTGTAAATATGCCCTTAACTGAAAAAAAAATATTCACAGCCTTAGAGCATGGAACAGTCTTGCAGAAATACCTGTCAGTGGAACAACTGAGTATTAAAACGCTAATTTAAGTGGAACCGTTCTTCACACCATACACAAAACAATAACTAGGAGATGCAAAGCCTACTTTTGAAAATATTATACTACAAAAAATCTTCAAATATACACAGACATATACAGAATAATAAATAAGTGTCTGTTTAGATTATTTTTTAGGTAGTCAGCAGTAAAAATATATTGCAGCATC